AGCGTCAGAGGTGGTTTGCTAATGTGGGATCCTTTCACAACATTTTTTTTTGAGATTTTGGAGTCGGTGAGTCGGGAAAAAATTTGTCAACGTGTTCAAAATATGAAGGAGACCGTGCAGTCGAGTTGTCATTTGGTGTAGGCTTCATTTTCTTCTGAGCACCTTTTATTTTTACCAGTTGAGAAGGCGGTTTCATGTTGGTGGTTTCGGGATGGGCATCCTTCCTCAATTGTCCTTTGATGTGGAGTTTCAGGTTGTCATTAACTTTTGAAAATCGCTCTTGTATCGCTTCCCATTTGGTCAAAATAGAGATATTTGATTTACCTTCATCCATACATCCATCATCATCAAACCTAAGTCTCTTCCAATGAGAGGAAACCTCGTTCATTCTTATTGGTTCACCAAGTTTCACCTTTTTAGCAATAACACAAGCACACGGGAGACCATATGTTTTCACAATAATGCAACCACACTTTGCGCTATCGAAGCCTACATTATCAACTCGTTTAGCCTCGTGAAAATATAGTTCAACCTGTCCCGAGAAATGTTGCCGACCAAATGAAAATAAAGAATGTTGTCTTTAAATCAATGTTCCAAAACTATGATGCTCCGACCAAATGTTGTTTGAATCTCATCAATGTTGCAAAACAGCTTTAGGCATCTTACCTTGATCCTTCAAAAGTGACCGACATGCCTCTAATGCAAAATCAACAGAGTATGTCTTCTCAGTTAAGGTAACACCAACCATCTCAAATAATGGAAGTCTATACTTTTTAGTCTTGTAGATAGAACCAAGTATGACCACTGTCGAAAATATGTTGAACAACTTTACTAAATCGGGATGAGTCCAAAAAATATCTCTAATTGTAACACCATCGTTGCAAGTTCAGTATTGGGGCATGTAACTATTATCGTCCAACTATTTCAACAGTTGTTGCATCTTAGTTTTATCCCCCCTAATTTTATTGTTAGTGAGGTAATGAATGTTAAACACTTGCTTGATATTTTATATATTGCTGTGTTGCTTCCGTTTCAATGTTGCAAGTATATTTTTTGGTTGAACAAGATTCAAGGTCATGTCACTAATACATTTATTTTCTTCTGACTTGAATCGACATACACTAGGATGACCGACTAATTTTTAGCATAAATCATGATTATGAAAACTACAAATGACATTAAATCTCCATTTTTTGTTAGCCAACATGTAACCACGAAACTTAAACAGACACTCACATTTTCTACTACAAGTGTCGTCTCTTTTTAAACTCCAGATAAGAATTCGATAGCTTTCGCTTCTTTTGCATAACATTGTCAAAACGTGCATCTTCTATCTGAGTCATTCTCTGACCTTCCGATAACCACACCAAATCCAAGTCTAGATGCCACCATGCGAATCCATTCGAGCATGTTATCATGATTTTCAAACTCCTGCTTGTTATTAAAGTTGTTGCTAACATATACCGCCTTTACAACAACCCCTTGAACATTCGGAGAAACTACTTGTTTTAAGAAATTATCGGGGTGCACAATATCTATTGAAAACAATACAAACAATAACAATAATTAAACTACTGTTGCAGAAAAGATTAGAAAATGAACACAAAATTATTTTGGAAATGTATCTCTGGAAAAGTTCAACCTCAAAGACGTTTCGGAGATACATCTCCATAGACTACGTAAATTTTTCAGTATAATTTTCATGATTAATGTGAGCAATATGGATGGAAATGAACAATCTTTACCTGAAAATCTATCTTCTTTTGCTCCCTGTGATATGCTGAACCAAAAGGATGGAGATTTGAAATGGAAAAATGGATTGAGAATGAAGGGTTTTTAGGGCGAGAGTTTGAGTCGAAAATGAAGTATGGCAACAATGGGGGACCACAATGCGTGATATGTGGAAACATAACTTTTTCTTAGGGGTGTACACGGGTTGGGATGGATCAGGTTTGACCTAACCCGTTACCAAACTTGTTCAAGCTATAATGGGTTGAGTTTCATCCAACCCATAATTCCATTGTCAAAATCAACTTGAACAGACTCATTCATATATAGGTTGGGTTGGATTGAGATTGCGGGTTGTGTTTCAAATAAAAAAAAATGATTCTTTTTGTCAATTTAAAAAAAATATAATACAACTTAATATAATCATACTCATTTATAACATTCAAATTCGATAAAAACACATTATATAATATATAATAAAATTCATCAATATGACATAACACTTTATAATAGTATAAAATTATACAAGACACGTTATTTTCATAAAATACATAAGTTTAAAATGATAAAAAAAAAAAAGTTAATTCATCTTTTGGTCGTTTAACTTGATTTAATGTTTTATTTTAATCCCTTTTTTAAAGAACGTTACACTGTAGTACCTTAAAACTGTCCCGTTAGCTTTTTTTATCCTTTCCATTAAATTTTTAAGAAAAAGTGTTAATTATGTCTATGGGGCAGTTCTAATGAATTTTTAATATTTGGTGTGGATTTTTTGATATATTTTTTGGATTTTTATTTTTTTAATAACAAACCTTACAATTCCAAATTTGAGAAAATCCTAGCAGCTATCTTCTTTCTCTTTCTCTTCTTCCACAAACTCTTCACATTCTTCTCCTCCTTCATCTTTCTTCTTTTCTTTCTAAATATCTTCATCTTCTTATGTTTTTACCAGAAGCAGCAGAATAAGGAATTTGTTGTGTGTTTGATTTTAGAGTTGGTTTCAGATCGGGTATAACGATTAAAATCATGATTTTGTTTTGATATAATATAAACTTTTGTTTGGAAAAACATAAGAGAAGAAGTACTTGAATAATGACATTGCAGAACATCTTCAATGATTTACTCCGATCTGGTCACTCTTGTAGGTCCTTTATTTTTTCTACGGCGGCGGAGAAGTAAGGCAGGAGCTTACGGGGTGATGTGGTTGACATAACAACCGTAGGTACTCCAATGGCACTTTGACAAAAGATGATTGTTAGCGTCTTGATTTTTCTAAATTTACATTTTCAATTTATCTTTTTATTGCCTCTTTTAATGGTATAGTGGATGTTATATATATATGGTTTTTTGTTCTGTGGACAGGTAGTTATCATACCACACACAACTTTGAGAATGACAATATTGTGATTTTTTCAATTGATGAGTAATCTGAGCTTCATGTACTATTCAGCTTCTAAGTGTTTTGAGCCATTGATATTATCATAGTTGTTATTAGTACTTTTTCAATTAAACATTGTTGTGTACTGCTGATGTTGTTAGTTATAGTTGCATGAATGTTGAAATTTGACCGGGGAAGAATTGTATTATTAATGAAATGAGAAAAATTGTCATATTTTTTAAGCATTATTAACAATTTGCCGGGGTTTTAACATCTCGAAAACAAAACTCTCAAGTTTAAATAAAATATTAATTTTTAGGGACCAATAATAGTAATGAAACAATTTTAAAGGACCAAAGTGTAACCTTGTTTAATTAAAGGAGCAAAGCGAAACCTTAAATTAAGTTTAAGGACTTGATGATTAATTATGTTTAAAAGAATACAAAACAATATCTAATTTTAGAATTATGTAAAATCGTTGATCTAATAATATTATTGGTAGAGAATAAAACTTGTTTTTGAAAAATATATGGTTATTATGAAATATTAATTTTATATTTTTATTTAAAATAATAATGAAAATAATAAGAAATTACTTAAGGCAATCAATGAGTTAGGTCGACGGATCCTCGAGTTGCAAAAATCAAATCTGATACCCGAATTAAAATTGTACGAATTGTTATAGGTTAAGTATATCTATAAATAAATAGATTTGAATACTTTATGAGTTGACTTGCTTTGAATCAACAAAATCGTAAATCGACCCACATCTATAAACACTAATTCAATTTATCCGACGATGGGAGGCGACTAAAAGTCAATCTTACATTCCGTATCCCATTTTTTGAGCTTCTCAATTTAATAAGATGCCGATTATACTCCTTCATTTATTGTTCAAGCTTGTTTTCTCAAATGTTGAAGTTATTAACGTACCAAAAATAGTAGTTGCAGCTACTCTTTTATCTTCTCTTTATTTCAATGGAACTTGAGAAATCAGGTTTTCTTATCGAGCACATTGATGAGTGAGCATTTAAAAAATATAGATGAATCATCTTTTTATTTCAGAGGTAGTTTAGTACCAAAGTTGTCAACAAAACACGTAACCGGAAAATAAAATGATTTTAAAACTTTTAACTGAAAAAGAAAATTGTCTAAAAAACATCATGAATACTGAGACTAAATTTAAATGTAGTATCATAGGATATGATTTCTAAGCTTTTGGCACTAAATGTAGTATCATAGGATCATAGTCAATGTCTTTTGAACTTTGATAGAATCTGCAAGGTTTAAAATCACAACTTTTTTTTTATAAGCAGAATCTAATAATAAGAGATTAGAAATCTCAAACTAAAAGAAACAATTACAAAAAATCGAAAGAAAATTTGAACCAATCATACAAGCTACACTGTTTGCTCTCCTTCCTGCCTAGGATTAACTAATTCCAAGAGAAGTTTAATGTCGAAAACTATTCCGTCGACCTCAGTGACTACATTATTGAAAATAAAATCATTTCTAGACCTCCAAATACTCCAGCAGGTAATGAACCAAATTGAATTTATTTTGTTCGCTTGACACCGGCCACTAAAGCTCGAGTTCCACACCTTCACGTGAGGATAATAGCAAGTTTCAGATATTATCTCTATATCCATCCATTCACAAATCTTGTTCCAAATCTGAGTGAATTTAAAGCACGAGAAGAAGAGATGGGAGACGTCCTCGAAACTACTAGAACAAAACACACAATCCAAGTCTTACTCAAAACCACAACTGTTAATCAGAAGTGTACTCCAAGTCAAAAGATTAGAGGGATAAAGTGTTTTTTGACTTATATTTCCCACCTTATAATTAAAAAGATTAACCATAGTCATAATAGCTTTAAAATTTATCAAATGAATTAAAGAGAATAAATAACTTCAACTTCTCCGGATGATCTCTTGAACCTAATTAGTTCGGTCATTAACTCTGGTCTGACCACACGATGATGCTTCACCATCATCTTTTCTAGCACAGGCGAATATAGAAGTAAAAATCTGATAAAATCTAATTCAGGCTGAATACCAGAGATCCAATGTAATGTCACATGTCGCATTTGGAGGGGCGTGTCTGGCCTCAAAAATGTTTCTTCCCAACAATAGGTTCCAAGTTCCAAAGATACATTATGCACTTCATTCAGCGTCTACATGCAATTGTTACTAATTAGATGTGAGAGAGAAAGGTAGCATGCATAAGAGAAATATATAAGATATTATAAGATAACATTGTATTGATTACTGTGTTATCAAATTTCCCCGCCATGGCCGCTATGGCGGATTTTGGGCTCGCCGCAATGGTAAATATCGGCCGCTATTGCGGGTTTTTCCGCCAAAATCCGCAATAACGGCACCGCAAAGCGGCCGATATGGCGGGATTTTTCCTCTACGCCATCGACAACACTGAATTTGATTAAGAAAAGATGGAAAATTAGGTTCACACGTCTCAAATTTATACGAATATATTGCCTGATTATGCATCTAACTCTATCTAAACTGCAACTGATTCATATCTTCTTTTAGCAATTGCAACTCACATGTTCAAGTCCTAGAAACAACCTTAAAAGGCTAAACAATCAACAGTTACTTCAAAAGCAAAAAATGTTTGCAAACTCTATTGCTTAATATAGAATATGCAAGTTGAACCACAGATAAAATGGGAAAGAAAAGTCAAATTAAATGAGTACTCACAAATATTTCTAAATTTTGAAGATTAGGCGAGCTTCTGAGCAAACAAAGGGTAGCCAAAATTTGCTTAAGGTCATAAAAATTTATGAATAAAGAAAGAGATCTCAGACTGATACAAGGTGTAGGAAGCTTTATTGGCACATTACCTGCAATCAAATACTAAAGGAAAAACAAAAGAATGAATCTAAATCATATATAAACATTTTAAATTAAATTTGTAGGGATTCAGAGTGGGGAAACTTAAATAACATAAAATGATTTACTCCAATAGTCAAATTCAACATTCAGATGCTCAAGCATTATATACCTTCAAAAAATATGTATGAATCATTAGGCTCTGAATGTGAGGTCGATGATCAAAAAATTTGCGCAAATTGCTAAAGTGTCCATGTAATCTCCTTCGATTGCTTTCGGGGTCCAAGTCCGTAACTAAATCAATTGATATTGTAGCTAATTGGAAAGTGTTGTCAAAGGTGATACTCTCAAATTTACCACAGAATTGAAAAAACTTGAGATTTGGTGCATGAATAGTAAATTCGGTTAAATCATCAATGTGCATCAATATCAACTCTTCAAGTAGGGGGCAGCCGGATATCAAGTTTTCCAAAGCATTTTGAGTCACTCTAACCACATTTAGATTAAGGCTTTTCAAGTCCTTGAAGCCTTTAAATGTCCTTGGAGGTTTATTCCAAAGACAATAAGTTAGTTCTAAACAATGTAAACTTTGACAAGAGAATAAGCACCAAGGTATCTCATAGAAATCTTCTTCTTCCACAGTATAATTTTGTAACACAAGCTCTTTAATAGATCTTCTGGCTAGATGAAGAATCCACTGATCAATATCATTCTTACAAATGAACTCAAAATCATGGATCTTGAACATGTTGATTGGTCCAGAATGATGTAAAAGTACACTATAAACCACTCTAAAAAATTTGCTCTCAATAATTGAAGGATCTTGGGAAGCCACGCATTTTCTATCAAATACAAGATTCGGTAGTGTGTGCCAATTGTTCCTCCATTTTTTTGATAAAACACTTGTTCTAACGGCTTCCCTAATTGGCAAGCAAGACAGAATCACATCTATTACATGACCAGGTAAGCCGCTAATCATATCCTGCTTCGCTCGGCAAATATTTTTTGTTTTATTCTTTACCTTTAGTCAAACAAATGGTACATACATGAATCAGAAAAAAAACAAGCTTAGTATAACAGAATTATAGCTAAGTCCACTGAAAGAGAACCTTGAAACTCAAACTAATGAAATTCAGTAAATTAAAAATATTGCACAGTTACTTATTCTACAGAAAATTCAAGCTATATAATGTTATTGCATGAATTACCATGATAAGATCCCGATTGAAAAAACAGGCAATAATCTTTGGAATGAGATTGCTGCAACAAACAAAACAAAAGACATTAACTAATTAGTTTAAGATGAGATGATGCATTCAATGTTGAAGAGGAAATCAAAAGGGATTGGGAATCAAATCGATTCAAACATCATTCAAAAAAAATTGAGACGAAAAGGGTATAGGGTTTACACACCCGCCGTGATGGAAGAACTTAACGAGTTTCTGCCAATAACAGTTCCTTTCACGTACAACTTACAAGTTCTTGACGAGTTATCTACTTATGATTTTATTTTGTTAAATTATTTTAGATTTGAGGTTAGGGATCAAAATTAGACTTTATAAATAAATTTAAAGAATAAAATAAACTTTTAATACTCTAATTATTATAAAGAAAAAAATAATTTAAGAAATTAGTCAAATGTAGTTAATATTTTAGATTGTATTTAAAATTAAAATAAATTTAAGATGAATTTAATTGGTATACACAGTGTAAAATTATTTTAATTTTAAATTGTTGACTAATTAATTACTTTCGTGTATCACGCCACATCAGATTGTAATTTTTAAGTTTACGGTGTGATATGCAAGATTACTAAATTTTTATTGGATGACAGTGTAAAATTATTTTATACTATTAGTACATGCCAATTAAACTCATTTAAGATTTAATACTTTTTGTCTCTTAATTATTTTAACTTTTGATTCATTTTGGTCATTTAATTTTAAAAAATTCATATTTATTTTTTAATTCTTCAAAATTTATTATATTAATAATTTTTATTTAATTAACGACGAATTTTTGAATTTTTTTATTGCTAACCAAATAAAAGAATTAACATAATACGTTTTTAAAAATTAAAGAGTCAATATAAATTATTTTTAAATTAAGAGACAAAATAAACTCAGAGATTAACATACGAGAAAAAAAAATCTTAAATCTAAAGTTTACTATAATTTTCTTGATGATATTTGATGAATCATCGAACAACATTAAATACTTTTTGTTAGAGATAAAACAAAGATGCAAAATAATTTTGCTATGCAGGGAAGGGTCAAAATAATTTATTATAAATATTTATAAAAGGTTTTATTTATTTTATTTGACTTTAACAAAAATAATAAATATTTAAAAATAATAAATATTTTAAAAAATGATTATTATAATAATAAATGTCAAAAATTGATTATTTTTACATTTTCATATCGTTGTTAAATTATAGTTGTTAAAATCATAAGAAAGAAAATAAATATTTATATTTTTCCAACAAGAAATTAAAAAAATACTTTTGTAAAAGAATTATATACTAAGAGCATCTTTAGTGGGAGTAAACTAAATGGGTAAACTAAGATACTTTTTGTGGGCCCAAAGTGATTTGTAGGATTTAAAAAATTTATAGTTGATTTGAGTAGTTTTTACTTTAATGATGGTTGTCTATAAGAAACCAAAACTTGACCCCATATTTTATATTTTTTATTCAAGTTACCATTAATTTAATTATTTTAATTAAAATACATATAATTTTTTTAAATAAAATTTACCTTAAAAACTTAAAAATAATATTAAATATACTTTATTATAAAATTAAAAATGATACAAAATTCACAACAATAATACATAAAAAAAATTACATTTTCATAGGAATATAATTATAATAAGGATTCGATTGATTGAGATTCATTTGATAAATAAATAAGATTGGAAATTGAAAGAAAAAAATTTAGAAGTAAAACTGTGTGTAAAAAAAATTAAAATTTCTGATAATATGATCGTTACTATTTTCAAATATCATATCCTTACTTTAATGTTGTTGGAATATTTAGAATATTTTATTAATATTAAATAATATTATAATAGGTTTCACATAGTTAACGTTAACTATATAGATAATGGGAACTAAGTTTTAGTTCATTTGGATGTCATGTCAGCTCTGCTATAATGCAAATTTCTTATTACTAACGTAAGTTATAAAGAATTTTGGTTTAACAACCCTGCGTTAAAGTTGCTCTAAGTGAGAATAAATAAGTTATATGAAAATATGAAAATAAATAAGAACCATCCAATTTTTAAAAAAAAAGTTAATATTAAAAGATATTTTTAATAATTTTTATTTTCTTTTAAAGACAAATGATTTAGTAAAAACTACAATTTAATCTCAACCTTTCCTTTTTAAATTGGATGATTTTTTATTCATTCTCAAATTTTCATATAACTTACTAATTCTAGCTGGATATGTCACATATATGATGGCATATATAGTGAGAATGAGTAAGTTATATGAGAATAAATAAGAACCATCCGATTTTAAAATAAAAAGTTGAGATTAAAAGATATTTTTAATGATTTTTCTTTTCTTTTAATGACACATAATTTAATGAAAATCACGATTTAATCTCAATCTTTCATTTTTAAATCGAATAATTTTTATTAATTCTTACATTTTCATATAATTTACCTATTTTTAATATATATATATATATATATATATATATATATATATATATATATATATATATATATATATATATATATATATATATATATATATATATATATATATATATATATATATATATATATATATATATATATATATATATATATATATATATATATATATATATATATATATATATATATATATATATATATATATATATGAAACAAACTAAAAGTAAAAGTGAAAAGAGTTTTATAAATAAATATAGCAAAACACATATAAATGCATATAAAGTAAAATGATGATTACATTCATTAAGAATAATTATAAATTAAAAAGTTACTTTGTCAAAAAAAAAAATAGAGAATAAAAAATATGGTACTGTCAAACTTTTATATATACTTTCTACATTATTAAATGTACCATTTTATATGTACTTTGACTAGACAACTAGTATTCAACAACTCATCATCAATGCTACTTTATATTTGTATTTCTCACAAAATTTATATTAGATAAATTTCTTTCAACAAATGCAATTACCACGATTAAAAACAATGTTCAGTTTAAAAGTAATTATACCATTAGCTAAACACTATATTTTCTATTTCCCACCAACATTTTTAAAAGGTCATTAATTCTATTTAAATTAAAAAATAATTTAGTAAATATCTAGCCTCTAGGATACAATATCAAACTTGATACTGAGAACCATAAGTTTTACACAAAAGTATTCTTACGTATAAAATTATAAGTAAAAAAAATCTAGTGTTTGTAAATTATATATGTAGATAGTTGTTATTGTTAACGAATAAAAACTCCTTACTGATTTCAATATCACATTCCCACTTTATGGTTTCACCTCACCCAATAACAATCTAAGGTATAATTCTTGAACGTGTCAACTTTTTTATTTATTTATGAAATATCATATATTCTTTCGGTTTTAGTAGATAACTGAAGGAAAAATTAATTTACAGGACATGTTTTGAATCCCAACAACTGATATTTATGTTTTTATTTTTTTAAAAATGATGTCTTTATTTTTATTTATTTATTATTTAAAAATTAAATAATTTATTCCTTCGATTACACTACTAACCAATGAGTTTAATACCTAATCTTAACTATAAAAACATTTGTTCACTAAATTGTACCCTAAATCTATATCAAATACGACCGCTCCAAACTCGTAAACATCATTCTTTATGATGAATTGTAAGATAAAAAAATCTTCAAGTTTTCTTAATTAGTTAAGAAAATTTTCAAGGTTTTGTGTTGTTGTTCTTCTAACACCAACCCTGAATAAAACATTTTTCTGTTCTTGCAATTTATCTTACATTGTTTTTGTTGTTGTTGTTGTTGTTGTTATTATTGTTGTTGTTTCCATCTCTTGCAAACCCATTATTATATTTTGGGATAACTTCTCAACATTATCAGTAAAACAAAAAATTCTATCATATATTGCTTTCTTCAGTTGACAACATTAACAAATTGATGAGATATTATAAGGATCAAGAAGGTTGGTTTTATTAGGATGCCCATGGAAAGTCATATGATGATAAGTTTGTTCCGAATTAACATGCTCTGAAAGGTTATGTTTCTAGAAGACCCCCTACTTCCCCCTTCATTTTCCCGTCTTGCTGTTGCTTCAGATGCAATGCCTCCTGCTATGAAGGCTTATCTGTACATTTATGTTGATCGGTTCAAACTTTGGCCCAAATTAGAGAGGACCGCCTCATTTCCTGTCTTGATGCTGAAGCCATAAAAGATAGATCAAGGGAAGACCGAATGGTTGCTAGATAAGACCAGATAATCACTTTGGTTGCAAGCATCAAGGAAGCCATTGAGTCTCTTAACACTATGCCAAAAATGGCCTTTAGCAGCGCTTTTTTTGACCTTTAGCAGCGCTTTAAAGCGCTGCCTAAAGTGGCGCTGCTAAAGGTAAAGGCAGCGCTTTTTTATATGGAAAAAGCGCTGCTAAAGGTATCACTTTTAGCAGCGCTTTCAAAGCGCTGCCTATTCTCCCTCCCCCTCCCCCCCTGTAGCAGCGCTTTATGAAAGCGCTTTTGTAGACCACCCTTTAGCAGCGCTTTTTTAAAGCGCTTTCTTAGACCCCTCCTTTCCTAACCTATAGCAGCGCTTTTTTATGCCTATTTTTCTCCCTTTAGCAGCGCTTTCTTGTAAAAGCGCTGTCTATACTTCACGTTTAAAAAATTTTTTTTTTTGAAAAATCACATTTTTTATATATTTTAGACAAACCTGCTTATAACAATTAAATTCCCTGCTTATAATTCAGGCCTTAAATATAACTTGGCCTTTAAACATTGTAATTCAACACTTGACCTTTAATTCAACACAATATAACTAAACATTGTACATTATACAATAACACTTTGCAATTTACACATAATTAACTCAAATATAATTTACACATAATTTAAACATTGTACATTATACAATATACAATATACACTATACAATATACAATTTACACATAATTACAAATCCAATATACATTATAGAATTCTTAACTCAATCATAAATTGACAC